CCCGTTAGCGGCACAGGGCTGGCGCTGGCACTGTCCCGCATGCTGCCCAGCCGTGTGTGAGGTTAGCCACCCTGCTGCCGCCAGATGAGCCACGGAGCTCCGCTCTGTCAGTCCACCTCGTACCGAGAAGAGTTAATGACAGCCTCACAGATAACTACCTTTTCTGGCTTAACTTGCTTTCTTACTCTTAAAGCTAGCTTTTTTTGAAGTACCAAGTAGAGAATTATCTGTATGAAAACCTACACTGTGTCTGTATAACTTTCTTTGATCTGTGAGGACGAAAAAATGTCCAGAACATTCAGCTTAGTCCTCCAAGTTGCACCATTTCTCTTTCAAATATAACTAATTTGCATTCAGATGTCCTATCTTTAATAATTTTTTTTTTATTATCTTAATAGTAAGTCTTCAGTCCAGAGACCGAATAGGCACAGGAGGACAAGTTGTGGATTGCAGTCGGTTATTTGATAATGATTTACCGGACGGGTAAGCTGATATCATCGTGGTGTGAATAGAGATACGGCTCATACAACAGACTTTTGCAGTAGTGAGAAGTCAGTGTACAAATAGGTTAATTTATTCTCACACTTGAGTTCTACAGTTTTGCATTTAGGAGCCTGAGATAAGCCAGCCAGGCTACAAGGGTTGTTTGACCCTTGCCTTGGAAAACGGGAGGTGGCGTATATGAGCGTGTGCGTTAAAAAATGTACTTCTCTAGGAAAACGTTATGTCTTTCAAATTATAGGACTGATAATATAATGTTAAATCACTGTCAGCAAACTGATTTCATCCATAGGGTAGTTTTGCAGGAAGGTAGTGAACACACAGGCCTGGCTGCCTTCTGCAGCACTGTGCAGAGGTGTACACTGTTATAAAAATGGATAGCTTTTTTTCTTCCATGTAAATCATAGTGAACAAAATGTGATTGGAAAAGGTAATGGAGCCTGACTTCCTGGTGTAGAACCAGTAGTGGCAAGAACCTAAGTTCTTACTCAGGTTTCTTGCTCTTGTTTCAGCAAGAACCTGAGTTCTTGCTGAAAAACCTGTCCAAGGCTAGGTTTAGGATTTTGATTTGTCCCTGTGAGAGTTAATGACATCATTAACACCTAAAACAGTTGTGTGAATACAGAAAAATAGTGTGTTTTAGGTTCTGGTGCTGTCATCAACTTTTTCAGAGCAAACACAGACCACCTGAATGTGATTCTTGGCAGGTAAAGACAGGAGAAACTGATTCTTCAGATGATGAATTTTAAAACATAAATTATCATCTAAGTCCCAAAGAGCATTCTTTTGTTAATTTGTGGAAAAGTCAAAAACATTTTTGAAAATGCTTTTAAATTTTCATTTCAAAATGTTCCATGTATAAATACTGCTTACTTAATTGTGTAACTGCAGAGCTACCAGTATAGCCTTATGTGTTTTGGAGTGTAAAAGTAATAACAATTAAGAAGTCATGTTATGTGAAGGTGACTTCTTCATGAAAGCAAGTAGTGCATGAAGATAGTGTGAAAGCACTTACTAGGATGAGTGCTCAGAAAAGGTTAAATACATTGTTAAACATGATGTTCTCAAGAAGTTTTTTCATACGGCTATTTGGATTTAATCAGGATTCAAATAGTTATTGAAGGTGAAGGTGTGATATTGTTAATGATATGCCTGGTTCCAAGGGAAGAACATGCAAAATGAATTCTGAGTTGAACTTTCGGTTGTTTCCTGTTACCTTGTTCAGCTAACATGATTCATAATAGTGTAAGTCTTCCTGAGTTGGCATTTATGTTGGAAACGTTTTGTGCCCTGGTTTCCTGGAAATACCACTCATTGCCTTATCTCTCAATGCCTGAATTCTAGGTGGGAGGAGCGGAGGACTGCTTCTGGAAGGATCCAGTATTTAAATCATATTACACGAACAACTCAGTGGGAGCGACCAACACGGTAAAAAATGGTTTAGGAGACTCTGCACATGATGAAGTTTATTGCTGACCAGGGGTGCTGAGCACAGGCGACTCTAAGTGGCCCTATCAGGGGATATTCAGCATTCCTCCGAGTCATTCTGCAGACGCTGTATGCTTTTCTTCTCTAACATCCTACTCCTTCGGTCTGCCTAATACTTAACTAAGTAGAATCATTCTGACTAGATTTTTTTTTTTTTCTCTCCCCTGATACTATTTTCTCTGTTTGCTTGTAGAGGCACTGTGGTAGAACTCTATGAATACAGTCATTAAAATGTGCGGACATTGTAAAGGATGAAGAAAAGAGATTGTGAATAGCTGACAGGCGCTGTCTGTGTACACGCTATGACCATGTAATCCAGAACTTTAAAAGCTGATTGTTACAGAGCATGTTTCAAACTCATTACGACTACCTTTCCTAATAACCATAGATAGATGTTGCGAAGTTGTTCCTCAAACCAGTTTTACTGTTACCTGAATTGTAGACAGTGTCAGTGCATATGTTCCAGGCTCTTCTGCAGACCGTCTGCTCCTGCAGGCTCTTGTCTTCCATCCTTGATAAATATTATTCCAGTCTCTGTATGGATATATTTGACTTAACGTAATCTGTAATGTTAGCGCTGCCAGCTCTGATACATATTTGTGGTTTTCAAGTGAGTGAGGGTACTGAACAGCTTTTTAGTTTATCTATCTGTATTTTTCCTGGTATGTTACAATACCTATTATAAGCTGGAGACACATTTACGGTAGAAAAACAAATGCAACATATATAATTTGTTTCAGGGATTTCCTGCATCCTTATCAGTCTCCCTTTAACCCATTTTAAATCCTTTTGAAAGCAAAATTGAGATACAAAACCACATAATTCAGTGTTTCCTCTGGCAGTTAATCTCCCAAGAGCAACTGTTTTTTATCTTACTTAGACCTTTTTCCACCATCCTCACCTAATAACCTTCCTTGAAAGTTAAAAGAAATAACAAGGCCTGATCATTTCCTTAGCTATATGAAGGCAAGGTGGGGAGTTTGGGCTGTGCGCTGCTTGTTTTTAAAAGAAGTTGCTCTCAGCACTCTGTTTAAGGAGGGAACTGCTCACGTGAGCATGTGACATGATCTTGATCCTGCAGGATCATATACGGAGTGTCAGGTCGGACCCAAAGATAGGTGAGAGCTTTACTAATGGCTCTGCGATGAGCCCAGTAAGCGCAGAACAGAAGTTTTCTGCCCGTCATCGAGGTATCCCGCTCAGTTCTGCCGTCCACCAAGATTTCCTGAGAGCCCGTAGATGAAGCTTCCCTAAAGTGCATTGTGTAGCCCTGTGTCCAGTCAGCAATGCAGTTTTCTTCCCCACAGGCCAGCGTCCGAATATTCCAGTCCAGGCAGACCGCTGAGCTGTTTTGTGGACGAGAACACTCCAATCACAGGAACGAACGGTGCTACCTGTGGGCAGTCGGCAGATCCCCGGCTGGCGGAGAGGAGAGTCAGGTCACAGAGGCACAGAAATTACATGAGCAGGACACACTTGCACACTCCACCCGATCTACCTGAAGGATATGGTATGCAAATTAAAATCTTTTAGATGTAGGTCCCTCAAGAAACTGGGAAAATGGGTTGTTTTCTCCTCATATGTAAGACCCTTTTGATGTCTTAGTTTGGGTAAATCAGTCTGAGGTTTTTTTAATTGCAATTTTAATGCTTATAGTTATTAATTAATCTTGATTTTGCAGAGCAAAGGACGACTCAGCAAGGCCAGGTCTACTTTCTGCATACTCAGACTGGTGTTAGCACGTGGCACGATCCAAGAGTACCTAGGTAAGAAAACGATGGAAGTATTCTTAAATATCAAAACAGTTAACCAGTACTGTGCTCAGAGTTCTCTGTCTGGTATTAAACTTCTGCCTCTTGGTCCCTCATTTGTCATTTTAACACGCCATTTATCAAAATAAATTAGTCTTTATTCTTCAGTTTTTCAAATTGTTACTTTAATGCAAAGATGAGAATCAAGAAATAAATTACAGTCGTGTCTTGGAAACAGGTGTAGCTAACTGACTGTAGATGTGGCATATGAATTACAGCCGAGGCCAGGTTTGAATACTCTGAGAAATGGTGAAACAAAAGGGGTTCTGAGCACTGGATCTAGGTTTATCAAGGTGCTTCAGTGAAAACTGAGTTGGTTTTTGGTTTTTAATTCAGGCTCCGGAAGTTAACAAGATCTCCCAAACTGACAACATAACTATATGAAGAACAAACTTGGTGACAGGCTAGACGTGTGATCGCTTTTGATGGAGGAGCAAAGGGGAAATCATGGAAAATCTAGCAGATGCCCCTAGTACGTTTAGACACACTGTTGTAGTGAACTGAAGTCTCATCATCTAATTAGCTTAAATGGACTTGTCTGTGAGAATTATTGTCCCATGTTCAGACTACCAAACGTTTACTCAAAGAATGAATGGGCAACTCAAGGAATGAATGGGCAACTTCGTACATTTTGTAGAAACTGATTGGAGATACTGGGTCATAAAAAGCCTGGAAGCTGAAATGGTGAGCTGTGTTTGAAGTACCAAGGTAGCCTTTTTTAAAAAAGAAAGGACAAACAAGTTGTTCTTTTCCATCTGGGTATAGTAGCAAACATCTAAAAATGCACAAACTTTTTTACAGCAGGTTTCCTGTTACAGAGTAGAAATCAATACCTGTTCCCTTTATAATGCCCTAACACAGATACTCCTTGAGCAATCGCATCTCAGTATAAACGGATGGAACGGATATCCATTTATATAAATGCCTATAAATGGAAGGAATCTGGGCGAGAGGGGCAAACAGGTAGAGAAGCTGAGAGAGACTGGCCTGTGATTAAATACTCAAACTGCTGTTGTGGCCATCTCAACGCTCCGCAGAAAATAAATCTGAAGTGTCCTTTTAGTGTCTGTATTTACACAATACACACATGTACATGTTGTACCCGACTGTACGCATGACTGTGTCTGATCTTTGAAAGGAAAAAAGGATAGCAGGGAAGTTATTGTTAGCTTCTGACTGTTCTTTAAAAAACCCCAAGGAATCCTGTTGAAAATGATTGCCTCCTGCCGTGTGCGGATGGTGGTGTAAAACTGCGTGTGTCGTTTGAAATTGGCAGCCAGTATTGGCATTTATGAGAATTGTAGCAACTTGGTCAGTTGCTGCTGGTGTTCATTACCATGGAGTTGGCTTTTGGGTATCCTGGGAAGGGCGAGGTGCCTCATGGCCATAAGTTCACTGCATTTTTGAACGATTCTTTTGGTTTTCTTACTGCTCTTGTCTGACAAGAATATACATGCATTGTCTGTGTATTGAGGGTGAGGTACAGCTGGCGGTTGTGCGTGAGGAAGTCTTTGCTCCCGTGACTTGTGTATTATACAAAACTAGAAACTAGACTTCTCAAACAATTATATTAAGATCTAATCCTTCAGTTTGCAGTGTAATAGCTGTGTATAAAATCTGAGTTAGCGCTACTCTTAGGTGTGGAAACAGAAAGTGTCTCTGAGAACAAAATTTGGCTGTTTGCATGAGGACACTTTATCATTTGTAAGGCATATTATAATGATAATATGCCACAGTCAATTAATAAAAATAAGCCCTGCAGTTCAGCAGCAGTTTGTATACGGGTAATATCAGCAGAAGTTCAATCCCAGAGCCTTGAATTTCCATTAGTGGCTTCTCAGCCTTTTGAGTCCCTGCAGACAGCATTTTTCTGGCCGTTCTGCCCCTCGGCTCTTTCCTGGCCTCAATGTGCCTCGTACTGGGAGATCTGAAGACTTACACCTTTAACAAGAGCTGTACTTGACAGTGTGAGGTATGTGAGGTGTGAATTATGTACATGAAAAATCAGTAACTGTACACTTTGGAAGATTAGTATTTGTTTTCAGTGAACCTCTGGGATGAATCTCCATCTTAGGAATTTCAGCACAATTTTCTTGAGACACATTACGCTACCTCTGCGTTGCTCAGTGCAGAGCTACATCATTGTTCATACCATATTTTATTTGAAATGTTTTGTTAGATGCTTCCCAGCCGCGCTTGGAGTTCTGGGGCAAAACCACCTGTGGCATACACACATATCCCATGTGTAATTCTTCACGGATAGTGTAGCTCTTCAGAAACACAATTTTGTTTTGCAGGAGTTTGTAAAGTGTGATTCAGAGTTCCTTACATGACTAATGTTGTTTTAAAAATGTTTTCTGTCAGAATTGGTGTAGAACTGCAATTCCATTTTGGCAAATATGGCAATGGTCTGTATTTTTGGTTTAAGCCTGTATTAATTTAACATCTGAAGTTGGTTTGTAAAAATGAAGGTTATTTGATAAGAAGTTTTTCTCCATGGCATGTGTTCTGGGGTGTGTGGTTTTTCTTTGGTGGGCTAGCACCTTGGGAGTAGAGATTCCAGCTGAACAGATCAAGTTTCTGAAACAATGCATTTTCTCAGACTTCATGGAATTGTTCTGTTACATTTACGCTTGTTTGGCTCAGAGGCCAAATGCTGAGGTATTTTTCATTTTATATTTGTTTTCACAGGGATCTTAGCAACATCAATTGTGAAGAGCTTGGTCCACTGCCTCCTGGATGGGAGATCCGCAATACAGCAACAGGCAGAGTTTATTTTGTTGACCATAACAACAGGACAACGCAGTTTACAGATCCACGGCTATCTGCTAACTTGCATTTAGTCTTAAAGTAAGTCTAAAGTCTCCGGCACATGTTGAGTGTAATAGAGGGGAGAAAGTGACTCTTGAGCGGCGCTGGGTTTTAGGTCAGGATGTAGTCTGCCATTCGGTAGTATTTGAAGGACAGTAGCATCTCCTTTAACACACTACCGACTTCCTTACAGGTTTGACTGTTCTTTGAGGGCGGAAAAAAAAATCGATCTCCAGCAGCATTTAGGCTAATGCCAGGAGTTGGGGGCAGCAGGGGGAAAACATTGGCCCAGAGAATTTTTCTAACAGCAAGTGACACTTTCTTGCCTTTTCTTTAAACATCATACTACTAAGAGTTATGGAGAACTTGCCTGAAAATATGAGGTTGCATTCAAAGCCCGTGGTGTGAAATACTAATGGGTTAGACAAGGGTGCGCAAGTGCCCAGCTCTTCTCCTGGAATAAAGGAGAAATAATTCAGCTCCTACCTTCAGTTTTAGAGTAAGACTAGTTGAGATGGTCTCAAAATAAGACCCTAATAATTTAACTCAGATATTTTACATAAACAATAAAATAGGAACTGTGGTTTTTCTGCCTTGGTGTTTTGATATCACATTTTCATATTACATTTGTAAAAAGGGGACACTCAGGAGAATTCTGGATCTTGTTTTTATTCCTTAGGCACTCATTTCACACTGGGGGATTTTCTACTAAAAATGGGAACCAAAAAGCAAACAAATATGCCTTTTTTTTTTTTTCCTTTTTTCCTTTTTTTCAGTAGACATGACTGTCAGTTTGTCCAAGCTATCTGGGAATTCGACTCTCTTGTTTCTCCTACTAACACCTTTTAATACTCTTGGGAAACACCTGTAAAGTATTGAGTAGGTGTTAAGTGGAAGAAACAATGAAGAGTTGGTTAGACAGAAAGCCATGCAGCCTGGGGCAAGGAGTAAGTAGGAGGAATAGTTCTTTTAAGGAAGTGAATCGTTGGGAAGAAAAGCTGAAGGATAGAATAATGGGAACAAGCACTGAGAAGACAAAACCGAGTAATGGGAAGTGATATCCAGGAGGCCAACATATCTTTTGTGTAATACATAAAAACTGGCTAGCCTTTGCCCAATATACTTTTGAACTTAATGCCCCAGGAGGGAGAAGAGTCTAAATTTTGACAAAAATATATTTTGCTTAGGTAAATCATTGGTTATATACATGTATATTACAGAACTTAAGTTAGCTCACATCATCCAGACATTCGGTTCTTTATTTTTTAATTTAAAACTGAGAATCATTACTAATTTTAGCTGAATTTAGATTGTTCATTTGAAACTAACATGATCTTGGGGAGGGAAAAAAAAAAAAAAAACACCACAAAACCCAAACTTACCAGTGAAGGAACACATTCGTGTTTATTACACAGGAAAGTTCATTAAGTTAATTCTAATTTAGATATTTTACCCAAAGAATAACTTCAGACCCTCTTAGCTACAACAGTGCAATTCTTAAAGTGTAGAAAGTTCAGTTAACTGGACTATGTTTGAAAAACTGTTCTTCGCAGTTAGGTTGATTTGTAAAGGGCAGTAGGGTCACAGTGTCTAGTTCTACATGTATAATGGAGGACAAATCCAAAGCTAGCTTTTTCTCAGAAAATCCAATTTGACTTTCAAGTTCCAGAACCATTTTGCATGTCTTTAAACTTTAGATACTGCTACAGTGTGCTTAAGTTTTTCATTTGTACATCTGTCTTTCATTAGGGAAGGATTTCAGAAATTCAACCAACAGTGTCATCACCAATGTCTGCTGCCTGATAAATCTTTTCTGGTGTTTATTCTTTTATTGCACCAAACAGGATATGTGAAAGCTTCCCCCTGTCCCCCGCCCACCTCCTTATTTGTTCTTTAAAACAAAATAAATTAAAAAGTAGTTTGCCTTAGGCCTGTCGCTTTCTAAATTATCTGAGAAATGTAGTATTTGAGTGAGATGGGTGTGATGGTTTTAGGTTCAAAGGCATAATATAAAGTTAACTTTATATTGATACTGACTTTTCTGTGGAGCTGAGTATAGTAGTTTGTTCTTGCAGTGATGACAATTTAACTTGTGAAAATGAGCAAACTTGTTACCCAGATAAGTTTTAAAATATTGGCCAAGATTTCATGATAGGTTTTGATAGCTATGGCACCTGAAAAGCACTTTAGCTGTCTCCTTAAAGCACTGTAGGGTTCCAAGCATAGTGATTCAGCTGTGAAAACATACAAGAAATTACTTTTAATTACTTTAATCACTGCAGATGGTTTAGCTAATACTGCACTGATTATTTTCAGTCAGATATGGAGGATAACATTTTATTGTTCTCCTCCTAGTACTGCCCTATTTTAGATTGGTTTCATTTGATGCACAGACTTAAGTTCATACTCATTTCAGAGATTGCATTTGCTCTGACATTGTCTAGCTTTGTGTTTTGTACTGTTAAAGGTCAGATGAACATATGCTCTCTTCAGTATATATTTACAACATTGTCTGGTGGGCACATGCTCATCCCTATGGAATTAGAAAGTTCAGAAGACACAACAGACTTTGTATGTGACGTAAATACGGTATTTAAAACTAATCACAGTTGAAAAGGAAGTACCATGCACGTAGCACAAATGACATAGAGCCATACCCTGGAACCACATCGTGCATGTCTCTAAATTGCTGCAGTGACTTGGTTTCTCAGGAATGCTGTAATTAATAATTAATTGGAAGACCAATGTGATCAGCTTATTGAAAAAACGACACAGCAAACAACAGAACACATTAGCTTAATCAATTTTGTTATTTTCAATTTCTGACATTCCGCATCCTAGGGCTTAGTAGCAAAATATGATTTCTGTACATTATTCCCTCCTTAGAGCCTAGGAGTAAAGAGGTATTATATTAAGTCAATAATATAGAGGTCAATATTAAGCTTTGAGTTATTGCTGGAGTAGTCTATGATATGTCCCATTGCAGGGGGTTCTAGATGTTAGGCTTGTAAGACTGCTGATAAAGATTTCCTGGTCACCTGGGGTTAGTTTCCCTTGAGGGTGGCTTGTGCTCAAGTGCTTTAAATAGAAGGTTTGCAGATAATGGAAGAGCTGTCAGAACCCCAAGGCAAACTGGGAACTTCCCCATCCCTTTTATAATTGCCAGTTCTGAATGTTTCTGTGGTGAAAGCCTGCTGGAGGTGAATTTTGGTTGGCCAGGAAAGCCTTCTAGTAGACCTTGTTTCAAAGCAGACATCAGGCTGAAATTTTAAGATACTGAAACTGTGCTTGGTTCTATGTTAAATTTTTTGGTCGTTGATGTTAAAAAACAAACAAACAAACAAAAAAAAAAAAAAAAACCAAACAAATTTATTAACATGAGGAAAGCTAACATTCTGAATTGTAACCTTTCCTATTTATCCACTACAGTTAGGGTATTCTCCTGTGTTCCACACAGAGATATTCTTCTCGTGGTTTAGGTAAAATAGAACTTTTATCCTGTGTTGTTCGGAAATGCCACACTAAAAAGCCATAAGAATATCCTCTTACAGTGTACAAGAGACGACACAAGAGGACACCTCTGCAACATGATTCATTTCCTTTTCCTTGTAAGAAGTTAGATTTACAAAATCTCTTAGAATTGCTAGTAAAAATACTTATCTGTGCCAATTAGTTACATGTGAACTCCCACATTCCTGTGGTCCAGACTAGGCCAGGTACAAGGGACAAGGCCCTTGCCAAGCTGCCAGCACAAACATCTTTCTGTAAGCTTACTCTTTTTCAGGCAAGCCATTTAAAACAGACTATGGTATTGACTGTAGATTAGAGGCATAGAGTTTGGCAGAGCCCTGCATTTTGAAATGGAGGAAGGCAAAACACACAAAGGAAATATGGAAATGGTATCTGAGAAATTCAGTGTCAGCAGCTTAGTAGTAAAATTGTATGGATAATACCTTTTTATATAGTGCTGTAACCTTTGACATACTTTGTAGAGTAGTACTAACAGAAATAACAAACCCTAAAAACGACTGGTAGTTGCCAAGAAAGACAGGAGCATATGTCTGTAGTCAGGATAAAATCTCTCTGAATTTGTTTTTTACGGGACCTGGACATTTTTAGCATAATGACAGTAATAATCATAGTAAATTGAAAGTAGTTTAGTTACAAAAACTTAACCTTTAAGAAACATCTGAACGAAATAGGGGACGTGTGACTGGAATACCTGCAACCAGCTGTGTTTGTTTCTAGCCGCCAGAATCAACTTAAAGATCAGCAACACCAGCAGCAGCAGCAGGTAGTGTCCCTGTGTCAGCTTCCAGATGAGGCAGAGTGTCTGACTGTGCCAAGGTACAAGAGAGACCTGGTGCAGAAACTCAAGATCCTGAGGCAAGAGCTGTCACAGCAGCAACCTCAAGCTGGCCATTGTCGTATTGAGGTCTCCAGGGAAGAGATTTTTGAGGTAATTTGAGAATTTGACCCATTTCTTAACACTGAGGGAAGGGGAGGAGGGTTGTGCATAACTGTCTCAAGCCATTCAGTTAGATGAAATCTTGAAGTCCGGAGATAAAGCTGGAATGTTACCCCTGGCAAATGGGAAGAAGCAGCATTGAAGAGGATGTTAACAACAGTTGTGCACTTGAAGTGGATGTATTTATGCTGTAGAGAAGAAAGAAAATGAGGAAAGCTTTCCCTGTGGCTGGAGACACACAGGCTGTGTCAGGAACTGAGGAAGGAGTCCAAGCACTTTGTGTATTGGCAGATGCTGTCTCCTTTCTTCCTTGAAAAAGAGAATGCTGATGTCTGTTATAGAGGGAATGTTACAAATTGAAAACCAAGCAAGCATTAATGATCTCTGATCTGTTGTAACTTAAGTAAAATTACTATTGAATAGCATTCATCTTTGGAGTTTGGATTAGCATCTATCTCAATTCTGTTGATTATTTTTTTTGTCAGGATCAGACCAATTTTATGAATTGTCTAGGTCCTGAATGACCAGAGATGCCCACAGTGGGATGTCTGCATTTGATTTTCTGACATTATTCAGCACAATAATTCTGCTAAATTGATCAAACACAGTTATATTTCATTGGCTTTTTCTGGAGGACAGTCTCTGTTCTTGAGAACTTTATCACGCATCCCACACCATCCCTGATGCATTTTTATCACACCCACAAACTTGATAGCCCCACTGTGTTGTCACGGTTTTTCCAGCCAAGAAAGGTTTGTGTTGGTCTTCCCTGTGGAGACAGTCAAATCCCTTCACAATCAGCTGAATCAAAGGGAGGAAAGGCGGCTGGAGAGCATGGAAAGTTACTGTGTTCTGGTTCTGAAAATGAAGTTGAGTTGTGAAGTTGTGTCCCAGGCACACCTACCTGTCCTCTTCTGCAAAGCCAAAGGTTGAGGTATCGGTACTGGTCATAAATACAATGTAGGCTTCTTTGGTTTAATTCCTTTTTAAAAATTAGCATTTTCTGGCCTCTTCCAGCTTTCTTTTTGTGTTTTCTTGGTGAAGTCTTATTGATAATAATGATGAATGATTCTGCAGGTTTACAGGAATGGCATTGATGCTTCCTGAAGGTTTGCACATGTTACACCCCGTGCAGAGGCTCCGCTGGTGGCTTTTCAGCCTGCAAAAACTGAGAGCCTTCATGCAAAACAAAAGGAGTTTCCTAACACAGATTTTTTATAAATTAAGTGGGAATGAGAGAGAGAGAATGTTCTGTTCACTGTACACCTCTGGAAATGTAAGGGAAGGTGTTTCTTCTCACTCTGTTTTATTTGACAAGGGCTACCACATTTGTGTTTTGAGAAACTGGTTAGTATCTAGGAAAATAGTAACCCCTTTGGACTCAGAATCAGAGCCTCCCCTTTATTTCTGCTAACAAGTAGTAGCTTCTTGTCTCTAAATAGCAGTTAATAAAAGAAAGTGCTGTGTGTTTACAGGAATCCTACAGGCAAGTCATGAAGATGAGGCCAAAAGACTTGTGGAAACGATTAATGATAAAATTTCGTGGGGAGGAAGGCCTTGATTATGGAGGTGTTGCCAGGTAAAGAGTCTGTCTGTCTCCTCCCCTGCACCTCAAGCCCGCCAACCTCACCTACGCTTTGAATCCTAAACCAGCCTTGTGCCAGCTCTGTTTCTTTATCCATTATACCTACAGGTGCTCATTTCTGAGCAGATTGTATGTGAGAAGAATAGATATTTTCAGATAGTATTTTAAAGGAAAAACTGCATTAAAAAGAAGTAATTTATTGGAAATAAATCCAAATGCATGTTACAGATCACATCAGATACCTGTCACATGTGCAAGACAGACTTTTTGTATCTATTTAAATTACCATATTTTTCCTTGATTAGTAAAGCTTATTAGGTATCTGAGAATTTACACCACTACATCCTTGGCTTTGTGGTAGAACTTTGATCAAAAAGCATGCTTTATCACAAATTGTCACTACTGTTTGAAGCAAAGTGCTGAAACCCGGCAGTTTGTAGGTAGCTAAAATCTGTCCATATTCTGAGGTTACTTGTCACTTGCTTACAAAAAGTGACACTTTGAAGAATATCTTCATGCAATCACACATTTTAAAACGGTGCTGTTAGACTGATTGTACAGATGCTGGTTTACCTCACTGGAAGTATTCGCCACCTCTGGCATGTGGATCTGTTCTCTGGAAATGTGTTGACTCATTCACTGTCTGCATTGCCTTGCATTTTTTTAACATTGGTTTTCATTTCAAAGTATGGACGATGCTCCCAAACAGCCCGTCTTCTGCATCGGTAGCTGGGGTGTGGCAAGGGACCTCTGTCACCTTGCTCCTATCTTCATGAGTTTGTAAACGGCCAATAGGGTTCTCACTTCATCCATTTCAAGTATTTTAACGTGCTAATTAGCCATGACCAGTAAAACAATCTTGTTCAATCCGTCACTATTAATCGCTTGATGATAATGATGGTATTAGAGATGCTGTTGTGCACTGTTTTCCAAAGGGTCTGCTGGCATTTTCCAGCATGGGTTTTGTTTCCAGGCTGTGTGCTGTGGAGCCTTTGTGTCTTCCGTACAGGCATACAGGAAGAGCAAGCTAGACAGTGTTACTGTTTTCCCAGTTCTTTGACTATTATTTACTGCTTTGTGACCATTTAATTGAAAGTTTTGTGAAGTACATCCGTTACCTGAAGACGGCTTATATTAAAAGCTTTGAGTGGAACGCCACTGTAGTACAGTCAGTAGAATATGTAGTGTCTTCTCCTCGTGTGTAATGGATGAAGGAGAATCATAGCCAGAAACTCCCTTGGAAATAAGTAATGTGGAGAAGAACCTTGGGAAGCTGGGAAATACATCAGCTGTCAGGTGCTGTGCAGTTACCGAGCCAGTAAAAATAACTTGCTTTTCAGCCTTATCTAAGCATGTTCAGAGATAACGTCTTTCACATTTATGTTTTACAGTAAGACTTAAAATTCATACTATTTTGAAAAGAACTCTCAGCGTAGAAACGCATTTGTCTGAAGTACACAATCAATTATTTTATTTCCTTCAGGGAGTGGCTCTACCTCTTGTCCCATGAGATGTTGAATCCGTATTACGGTCTCTTCCAGTATTCCCGAGATGATATCTACACACTGCAAATCAACCCAGACTCTGCAGTCAACCCGGTATGACTGGTAACATCCGTTCTGTACATCAGCGCTTTGTGACTAGGAATTAAATACTTCTGGAGGCTCTTCTAGATTTAGGAACCTAATTCCCACATTACCATTGCTAGAAACTGAATTTGGGCAGTAATACGGTAATTTCTTTTTAGTACTGATCAAAGAAACTTCTCAAGCATGTTCTTAATTCCCTGTAAGATGTCAATTTATGTTTCTTTTGGGAGAAATAAAGTTTGTTTTGGTTCTTAGTAATAAGACTTCTGGACTGGAAGCAATATGCTCCATGTGCTGTGTATAAAAACAAACAAAACAAAAAGCTCTGGATACGTGGGTTGGGGTTTTGTTCGGTTTTGGGTGTTTGTCCTGTTCTTTGTATTGAAATTTTATTTCCTACTCAGCAGCTGTAACCTGGAGGTCTTATTTAGCTGAATGGCTTAGTCCCTTCCTTCTGTTCTAGGAACACTTATCGTATTTCCATTTTGTTGGACGGATAATGGGGATGGCTGTGTTTCACGGACACTATATCGATGGGGGCTTCACGTTGCCTTTCTATAAGCAGTTGCTAGGGAAGCCAATTACTTTGGATGATATGGAATTGGTTGACCCTGATCTTCATAACAGCTTGGTCTGGATACTGTATGTACTGTGTATTATACCTTACCGTGGTAAATTCTGTCTCAGTTAACGTGTGATAGTGTTCCTAAATCCAGTTGAAAAAGAATGAAGTGTATTTTGATCTCTTGCTCCAGCAGATTTAAGAAACATCTTTCTTGCACAGTTCAGCTTCTTTAAGGCTTAACATTCCCAAGGTATTCGAATTTTGGGGGTGGGAGGGAGATAAATAAAGTGCTCAGTTCATAAATAGAAATGTATTAATTCTGCCTATTATTAACAGTAGTGTGTTTTTAAATTACAGCGTTGTAACTTTGATAGTGGTTTTGAAAATATAGCCGTAAAAATGTGCGTTCAGTTTTGCTTCCAAACAGTAATTTGAAATGCTGCTGAAAAACTCAGTTGTGATGCCTGTCAGATGTGTTGTGGCTGTAATGTGTTGTCACCGAATCGCTTATTTCGTCCCACCAGTGAGAACGATATCACCGGAGTCCTGGACCATACGTTCTGTGTGGAACACAATGCATACGGGGAAATTATTCAACATGAACTGAAACCCAATGGCAAAAGCATCCCTGTGACAGAGGAAAACAAAAAGGAATATGTCAGGTACAGCAATATCTTCTCCAAAGTTGTTTTTATATTTCCTATGTAAAAAGGTGGGAAGGAGCTTAAACTTCTGTGACGTAATTGACAGTTCTGTTGTTGGGTTTTTTTCTAAGTGGTCGTGCGAGAGTGTTGTTGTTTATTCCTCTCTGTAAGGCCATTTTATTTTTTCTGGCTGGATAGATTGCAGGTTTATTGTATTTGAATACCTCTTTCACAAAACCAATTTGCACTCACTTGCAGACTTTATGTAAACTGGCGATTTTTACGAGGAATTGAAGCTCAGTTTCTGGCTCTGCAGAAGGGATTTAATGAAGTAATCCCACAACATCTGCTGAAGACATTCGATGAGAAAGAGTTAGAGGTCAGTCCACTAATGTTATGTCCTGTCGACAAGTGTAGCAGCAAAAGCCTGGGGCATTCTTCTGAGACTGAGTAACCACGAGGTTGTCTCCCCGGTGCTTTAGGGGGTTGCAGGTGCGCTGCTACAAGAAAACAGTGAGCAGAAGAGGTTACCAGGTCACACAGTCACTGAGGCTGCGTGTATCTCCCACTGAGAGCTACGAGGGTGTTTCTCAGGGCGATGTCTCATAGCTACTGAAGTGGTAGGAGACCCTCTACCTGAAAACCCAGCTGAACCTCCTGAGAAGGATCTGCAGTGCCCTCAGGCTGTTCCAGAGAGCGTTACTCTAGTGGTGGTGGTGGGTGTTTCTCACCGTGCAGTTTCACGATATTAAATTAATTGCTGCCAGGAAGATAGTCTGTCACTCCCTTGCACCTCCCACCACTCGCTCCCAGGCTTCTAGTGCGCTGCACTGACCTTGGTCTCAGGCAGCTGCGTGGTTTTGCAGAGCTGAGTTATGCTGGACCATATTGGCTCTGTAAATACAGCACAAGGACAGGTGCTGTCACCAAGAAACATGCCACAAACTGTCGAGATCGGCATCCAAACAATATCCTCTTAAAGCAAATCCCATAGATTCCAGGCTTGTTTTAAAACTGAAACCTGATATACAGCCTGTTAGCTGTGGCGCTAAGGTGTTTGCCCAGTAAAATGGCCACAAGGTAAATCATTCATGCTTTCTTCTCTTCACTGTCCTGGAATGTCAGCGACTGCTCCTCTTCGATCTGGAAGGTTCTGATTCAGCACACTGAGCCGTGCTGTTAACCCAGGATCACTTTGCAGACGCAGGCTAAGAGAGGGGAAGATGCAGTGTTCCTGGTGACTAGAAAATGTCTTCATCATCACATTCCTGTTGAGCTTCAGCTGATCCGGTTTGGATCTCCATTTCAGAACTGAGAGCTCTTCATCGGGAGGGAAGTGTGATTTGTGTTGTGTGTGTGGTAGGACAAGAACAAGGCTTGTTTTGAGGGTCCGGAGTGGGACCAGCCACGCTACACCCTTGGCTGTGCTCCAGAAGGAAATCCCGAGTTTGCATGTGAATGATGCACTGGTGTTCACACCCGGGTACAGTCTGTGCTTGTTACTTGACAGGTCAGGACACTTCGGTATAAGCTCATGAAATGGTTGTGGTTTGTTTTGGGTTTTTTTAATTTGAATTGAGACCATTTCAAAAAATGGGATGTGTACAAAGGTAAGAGTAAAAAGAAAACCCAAAATATAGATTTCTGCATTGTTTAAAATTAGTGACAGGTTATTATTTGCCTTTTGTATCAAACCTGTTGATTTTCCAAAATTAGTTATTTATCGCTTGGCTGGCTCCAAAACGGTGTTTATATTGATTGATGATGAAGTAATTATATTTTTAAATTACAGCTCATCATTTGCGGACTGGGAAAAATTGATGTTAATGACTGGAAGGCAAATACTAGGTTAAAACACTGTACCCCGGACAGCAACATCGTGAAATGGTTCTGGAAAGCTGTGGAGTTTTTTGATGAGGAGAGGAGGGCGCGCCTTCTGCAGTTTGTGACCGGCTCCTCCAGAGTGCCTCTGCAGGGCTTCAAGGCATTGCAAGGTAACGCAGACGCCTGTCCTTGGCGGAAGCAGTAGGACACGTCACAGAAACGTGTGCTGCAAAGGAGGCTGGCTGGCTGCCGTGTGACGCTGCGAGAGCCTTTTTTAATGGTCTGATGAGTAACAGTCACAACTAGTCTGTGTGTGCGGGTTTATGACCTTGGTATTCAGCTGTGAATGGCTCTTGTTGCAGTTAGGCACTTCCTCCTCTGGCAAGAAGTTCTGATCAGCCGAGATCTTAGTGGGGTTCTCCCTGGCTTTTCTAAAGTGTGTTTTAATTTCCATCTTTCCCAAGCCCTGCCACTGTACAGCTGTGGGACCAGAAAGCACCACCCTGTTCTTGCCATTCTGACAGCAGAGGCACTTCCTCCTGCTGACTGCGTTACTGTAATCACAGGCAGCCCCTTAATTACCGACCTGCCTGCTGAAGTGCAGCGTAGCCCTGGGCCTCTTCGAGCAGCTCTGGCTGCAACCCGTGCTGCCCTGTTACCCCAGCAGGTACCCTGTTGTGCCCTCACGGGGGGGGGAGGACGGCCCAGGGGAAGCATTGGTCGTACACCATTTCAACAGGTAGAAGATTCCATCAGAACACAAATACTGCGGGAACAGCCGCCGCCTTCAGAAGCCAGTTGCTCCAGAAATCTGTTTCGTCTTCGTTATCCCTTCATTATCAGATAGAAGCCCTCGTTTTCTTGAGCGGCCTGATGTTCAGGTGCATTAGAAGCTGAGGAACACTGAGGGTTTTTAAGACCCTAGTTACTTTAAACCAAGCATTGTGTAACCGTTGACCCTGTGGGAAGAGTTCCGTGTAACATCAGCCCTACTGCTGACGTGCACGCGGTTGCAGCGGTGGGGCGAGCTGCTGGAGAACGGCAGTGGAAGTAACACCAGCTGAGCTTCATCCGTGCTGCAAGTGTTAGGATGACTGTACCAGTGAAACAAGTATTTCTGTGCACAAACACACTTCCCTACAGATCTGAGCATGAAGATTATCAGGTTTTACACGGAGTTGTACTAACACAGCACAAGCAGCTCACATTCTTACTGACAGCAGAGAGTCCCCGTGAGAAAACGTGAGTGTGGGTGGTGTTCTTTCATGTCTGCTTATGCAGGCAAGAACCCCAGTAATACTGTGGTTTTAGGGCACTTGTAACCTCTGTCCTTTGTGACATCTCCAGCGTGTACTAAGTCTCAAAACCTGCTGTGCTGCAGGCTTTTAGCAGAGAGATTAAGGGGATGTCTGTAGAGTCACATCCCTTTAACAAGATGGTAAGAAGTCGGTATTGTGACTCTTCCCTGAACTGGAGTGGAATTGGCTACTACTCCAGAGAAGTCACAAAACGGGGGTCGATAGAGCTGTGTAAGTTTTGTTCTCTAGGAAGGGTGAGAGAAGTTCAACTCAAACCTGCGAGCAGTGTATAGTGCACTATCTGTGGAAGAGATTTTATTCTTCCTTACCAATGCTCTGCTCTTGTCTGTCTTTCCGTGGTTTAAATGACCGCCTGGCTGTCGTGGGTGGGTGGAGGAATCTGTCCGATAGGCGCAGGGAGTTTGCTCTAATTTTTTCCTGCCTGTTTATGATTTCAGCTTTCCTTGGGCACAGCGTCTCTGGTTTTTGTAGTTTCAGACATCATGTTGTTGTTGCAGTGCAGCAGACATTCCCATCCTGCAATACAGTAGTAGCAGAGATCTTTTTTCTGGATTTTCAGGTGCTGCAGGCCCACGACTATTTACGATACACCAGATCGACGCCAGCACTAATAATTTGCCGAAAGCTCATACCTGGTAAGACTTTCTTAGGTCTCCGTTGTGAGACATAGATTAAGAACAGTTTGCTGTTTTTTGAGCAGTCTTCCCCCTCCCCCTCTTTGTGCACCTAACAAATACTGTTCCAGAGTAGTAGCCAAGGTGTGAAAACTAGAGGCTGCTCTTACTTAGGTGAAGTTCTCCTGGCCTTGGGGTCGCTGTTTGACGCAGGTTAAGTGAGGTGTAACAGCACTCTGCTAGGTGATGCTTGAAGTTCCAGAGCTGAAACCTTTCTGCCTTCTGTCCCCAGCTTTAACCGAATAGACATTCCTCCTTACGAAAGCTACGACAAGCTGTACGAGAAGCTGCTAACTGCCATTGAAGAAACGTGTGGGTTTGCTGTGGAATGACCTTCACAGCCTCCCCTGGGACTCTATTTATACTCCTGTCAGCCAGAAAGCCCTTCCCTCAGCCAAGACTCAAGAAATGCTTGAAATACAGGAAACTTTCCCTTTTCTACACTAGGACACTGGAAGGGAAAGGACAACTTTTGGAAACTTTTTTTAATTTTTATTTTTTCAAGAAAATAGGTTCTGTGGTTCCTGCCATGGGATCATTCAGCTGCTATTAAAAACTAATACCTTGAACATACAGAATGCTGACTTTTCCTACATTTCAACAGTTAAGCAGTATTCTATACTTAAAGACTACTACTATTTTTGTAAAAGGTAATCTATTATATTTGCCTACCTGATTTCTAGTCTCAGATACCAAGACACAGCTGCAGCAGTCGGTACAAGTCACGTTTCAGCCAGTTTTAAATGTATGATACTGAACAGCATCTATACCTGCTATTTTTGGAGAAAAATACTTTGGATTATTCTAACTTTGCATAAAATTGGCTGAAAGAATCATTAATCTTTTTAATCAAAGCCACTTACATGTTAACTGCATTTTCTTATAGTAAAACATTATATTCTGCAACGTAAATTCAACTTCAGTGTTACCACAGGGGGCTTTTTTATATTTTTCAAGCATGAATTATGAATACGACGTTTTGGGGTCCTATTTATATCACTTGTCTGATTCCTTAAACAGAATTTCTAGCCTGAGTGACACGTTCTGTACTTGGTACAGTACTTGTGTTAGCACGCAGGATAGACCTTTTTTAATGAAGAGTAGACGTGTTGGGTTTTTTTAAAACAGCATTTTTTAACAAGTCTGTCGAGAGTGGTTTTTGTTGCTTCTGACTGTAAATCTAAACACTGCATTTTTCAACTTTTGAAGCATGCTGATGAGGTGACATTTGACAGCAGGAGCCTGTCAGCGCTTCGTTTCAGAACCCATCCTGTCCAGTCAACCAAAGTTTGTTTGAATGCAGCCAAATCACATTGTATACTTGTTGATGCTAAAGATTTATCAGGTAAAACATGTTGTAATCGTTGTCTAGCTGCTCATGACATGTGGGTGTAAGTTACAGCTACGGAAAAATGGTGTATTAACTGAAATGTGTGTAATGTGCTTTGGAAATGAGGTTTTAAAAGCACATAATTTATTGATTGTAGGGATGGAAGTAAGTATATATATGAATTATAACATGGGTTGATCTCTTCAGAGGGGAATAAAATGCACTACCAGTAGAGGGAACTCAACTTTGAAGTTAGTTTGGGAATTCTCAGTCAAGATCTGTAGGATCTGCTCGTGGTGTGTCGATGAATTGGTCTGCTTTAGAGATGGTGGCGTTCTCCTCTCAGCGGTGAGAATATTTGGAATAACTAGCGGGTTGTTTAGGGTTTTTTCCAGTCAGTGTTGTGGTTTTTTTAACTTAGGTTACAATTAATCGTCAAAGCTGCACTGTTTTTACACTGCCAATGAGAAGAAAGTCAGGGGTATTGAAAATGCTGAACGGGAGGCCAACAGCCGGCCCGTGCTTGCAGCGTAAGTCGTGCGGCGAACCAGCCCATTTTCTGTCTGTTCTGTGGAGCTTAATTTTGTTCTGCCCAGTCTGACTGCCACAGGGAGTAAAGTACTGCTGGACGTTGTGCATCGGAACAGTGGGCAATGGACTGCGTTTGCAGGACTGTGTAAGAACCTGGTGAGCCAAATCCACGTTTGACTAGTGGCTTTTGCACGGCGGTGGCTGGCAAGCTTGTTCTGCGAGCTCGCTTCCCAGCCCCAGCTGGCTGCGCGGATGAGGCTGCTTAGGGGTGTACACATAAAGCCAAGAAACTTGCTTTGACAGCCAGGTTTGAAGTGTCAGCCCCTTTTTCCCTGCATTCAAGGGACTGCTGCGCTCATGTGAAACGGCTGGTACCTTTGCGCCGGGAGTTGGCGTCCCCGGCGCGGGGCCTCGGGCAGTGCTGTCCCCGGAGAAGCCGCTGCTCCGGGCTGCCGGGGCAGGCACAGTGGGCTGTTGCCCAGCGTTTCGTAGGCAGCACTGCTGCCCATGGTTGGGACCACTGCTTTCGGCCCCCCCGAGACCTCGCCCCTGCTAGTCGGAGGTGGAACGGGAGCTCCTCTTTGGAGACTTCACAGAGACGGTTCTGCTGACCCCTGGTCACAGGACAGACATTCCAGTGTTGTGCAGTTCTGGAGTTGGGCTTTTCCCTGCTCTGCTCTTGCTCGGGCTGGGGCTGCAGCCTGCCTGGTCGTGACAAACGTAAAATCCCGTTTGATCCAGCTTTTGGGAGCAGGCGGGACTCTGGGAGGCGATTCAAGGTTTGCTGCCGCTGCCTTTGCACCAGACGGCTCAGCGCAGGGCTCCTGAGACGGGTCTCTGTAGCATCTCCTGAGCGCGTCACCTGTACCCACCTCCCTGCCAGCCCCCGCGGGCGCTGCACCCCTCTGGCCACCCCTGTGTCACAGGCTGCTGGGCAGAAGGGAGGAGACTGCTCTGCAGAACAGATCCCTCAGCTGGCAACACCGCTCATCACAGCAGCCTTAGCAGTACATCTGTTCTGCCAAACGTTTTCGGGTGGCATACAGAATTTTTTTAACTGCCACAGATAAATATTGTAAAATGAATATATTATAGGCAAAACTAGACAAATCCACATTTGACTTCCCATAGCTGACAGATGAGGATGAATATACCAGGGATGTTGAGTGCCTTTTTACCTTCATCGCCACCGAGAGCTTTAACGGAAGCACCTCACCAGACCTTTCTCCAGGAGCATTCAAGCGTTGATTCCTTTGCAAAATTTTGTTTCAAGATCATGTCGGCTACTTTCCCCTCAAAAAGGTGCTAAGCCTGATACTGCGTTTTAGCCTTGGACTTTCACCCCATGATTAATGTGAATATTTATTTCGGTGTGTCCCTCTTCCTGGGTTTTACTTTATCCGGTCTTTCGTTGTTTTCGAGAGATGTCACATCATGGTTTTATGCTGTTGCTTTTCATGATGAATGTTGAATTATGAACAGTGACTTGTGTAGATTTCAGATATACAGTACACAGCTGAGTTGCAGAGGATTTAATTTCTCGGTGTAAAGAGTTTTGTAATGGTGCTTTGTACAGTATGTGTTCTAATTTTTTTTTTTTGCACATAGTCTCGGTTTCCCTAAACTGATTTATTTGTACCAAATTTTTGTGTTGTACTAAAGTCCAGAGCACACAAGCAGTTTTTTTAAATTCTTGTTCTACAACACTACATCTGTATGGAACTTCTGGTGCGTTTAAACTGGCTGCATTGACGGAAGTAAAAGCTTTGCTTCTCTACCATAAGTATGCATCACACAGGTCCAGCTGCTTCACGTTTTAAACAGCACCACGTAGTTAACAGGTGCCCTTTGTTGTACTTTACACTATGTAGTAGGTTTCTGGCTCTACCACATCCTCGGAGCTTTGTCCGTAGTTGTAATTAGTTTATCCAAGTGTAATTACTCCTCCACCAACTGACAGTTCTTAGTTTATCATTTCCATTGTATTTATTACAGAGTGTTTTAGCGTTGGTATCATTGTATTTTCACCCAGCTGTTACATGAGCTTTAACAACAAAAATCTGTATAAAAAGGTTTTTAAGTACGTAATGTATGTACCCATGCAGAAGTTGAGCAATAAATTGTATGCTGTTTGCACTGTCACAGCATCAATGGTTTTACAAGCTTTACGTTTTTCTTCATTAAATACGTACTCTAAAATGCAATAATACCGGTTTTAAGTAACTCAGCTTTGTCCTGGGAGGAAATACTCGTGTCTGTTACCTGCCTTAAGGGTTGTGCTAAACGTTACAGTCAGACAGAACAGGTCTTCCTTCTGGCTGTCATGGAATGGTGAGCGTGTGTCCTGCCCTCGGAATTCAGCAAAGCTAAACCATCTTCCGGAGGGGAAGAGAAAAGGTAAATGAATCTGGAAACTACTTGTTCGTTTGATCAATGTGGCGGGTAAATGTTGCCCCGTAAGGACTTTCCCTTAGGCTGGCTTACAGCTGGTTGTTGAGAAAGTCAGGGTGGGGGACTTCTGCGCCGTGGTTTTGGGGAGTTGTTAAGCGAGCTCCATCCTCTCACTGCCAGCTGTTCTGTGCAGTCTCTAAAGGCAGCAGCTCTGCCTGCTGGGGGCTTTTTTGTCTGCTTAGCTCTTTTTTTGTCTTTTTTCTTACCGATGTGTGAGTCTTCCTTCCCAGAGTGGTGTCAGTTCTGTAAGAAGGCTTGCCCTGAGCTGGTGTTTAAATACTGTGCCTATAGTGCCGTTAATTCCGGTAGGTTTGTATCGCTTCTCACACGTGCAGTTTGAAGCAAGAACTCTTCTGGTGGAGCCTGTTTAAAATCACTTCACCCGCATACCGAGAGAAACTGTTTAAAACCAGCGATTTTGCCAAGCAGAGGAGAACGTACCAGGAATGAGCTTCACTAATTATCAGCTTGGTTTTATGTAACTTGTTCTCAGGGTTCATGTCGCTCTGTTTGTACCTCCCAGGGCCCGTTCTGCCTGGCTGAGAGACTTGGATTTCCTGCGGAACGATGTCCTGTTCTCACAGCACGTGATGGCCCCCAGTGAGCGGTGTAGCACCTCCTACTCTGCCTAGAATGAGACCTGACAACCTGAACTGAGGTAAAAGCTGCATGTTGGCATTCTTAACCACTACTTACTCCAGCTTCACACCAACAGAACTAGAATTCATCTGCTTTTCTCTAAAAAAAAAAAAAACCAAAAAAAACCCAAAAACCAACTGAAAACAAGTACCCTTGCAAAAACTTTGTCCAAATAGTCTGCCTTTAGGAGCAGATGTGGTCAAACTGCTTCAGTTACTGCACGTCCGTGTGTGTGCAGCGTCACTACGATCCCTTTAGAAATGGGTCGACTCAAACAAAACAAAACTTGCTTACACGTGGGCTTACGTAGTTTTGAAAACCCAGTGTGAAACCCAACAAGTGAAGTTCCTGCAGAGCACACCTCTGGAGAATAATCAGGAATGCTGTCCCCAGGTCCTGCCCAGGTTTCAGTTCTTGCAGAAGCTTAGATTTTACTGCTTTAGAAGAAATTGTTTCCTAATTCAAACTACTTTTTCCAGTACTGCTGCAGCAGCAGCAGAAGTACTTTATATGCTTCACTATTACCGAGCCAACAGTCCCAAAAGTGTAAACATAGTATGGTGTAGAATAAACAGCTTAAATATATAAATCCCTCCCTTTTGCTTAAATGTATGAATTCCTGATTCTCTGGTCAGGTTTAGTGCAGGTGTTCTATAACTTGTCCTTTCGCAGGGACCTGCCACCACGGATGTTCTTTTAAAGATCATCTCGTTCTTTGTGAGCCTTCCAATCCAGTAATTTCTGGCTCATCGTGTCAGTGTGACTTTCAGCTCCAGCAGGAACAGAACAGAGGTTCAGCATTCAGCTGTTCCACTACAGCACCCTGACTTCATCCCACGTGCTTTGTGTGGAGCTCAGCATTATCTCAGCCTTGCGAAGAAGGTAGAAAGTAGGTTAAACAACTTTATTAGTCATCATAAACGTGCTGTGGAGATCCCAATCCCAGCAGCTCCACCTCTGATGTGTCAGAAAGACAGACCAGGTGTGTTAAACAGCCATGCACCATCTCCCTGCTCCAGCAGCTCCCACAGCTTCTCGTCGTTAGCAGAACTGCGGTCTTACCAGAAACGGCTTTTGCTGTACTGGAAGGAAGCCGCCTGTAACCTAGATTTCAGCCTGTCTGCTTCTAGTTCTTGAAAAAAGGTGTCATCATCACTTTGCATTATTGCCGCTTGCAGTTGCTGTATTTCCTTTTCCATCCTCGATCGCAATTCTCTCTTTGTTTTCTGCAGCATCTGAGGAAGACGCAGAGGTTACCCACAGCACGCAGAAAGAGGAGACTCACACAGCAGTAAAAATACTTACTTGGGCTTGTGCTTTCTCCCTGGTTTGTATTTCTTGCTGTTCTTGAGATAAAGCCTCTGCTAGCATGGAAAACTAAGCAAAACACGCGTTAGAGTAGAAGCAATTCAAGAAAGGAAAGACTTCTAGTGTAAAAAAAAACCCGAGTCTGATGCAGATCAGCTTTACCTGATCTTTGTAATAGTTCTCCATGGACTCCAGCTCATTTTGATGCTCTCTCCTCTGCTCAGCACGCTTCTCTTGAGCGTATGCTCTCAGGTCCTTCAGTCTTTGCTTCTGAATGTCTAAGCCTTCTTCAAATAAGGTTTTAAATATCTGCCAGAAATTAAAAAAAGCAAACCTAAAACTTTCTGGGAAAGTTAGTTTAAGTATGCATTTACATTTTTCAGCTACTTTATCTCCTGGTGGAATGGTGATCGCATGAAGACAGGTCCTTGCCCACGAAAAAGTACAGACAGAGCTCAGCTGTAGTTGTATTACTCTTCTCACTGAAATTCTGCCTGATCAGGTAAATTTTTCATGTCAGTTTAGTCAGACGACTAAGAAGGGGGCCAGAACAGCCAACGAATATTACGCTTTTAAAATCAGACAACCTGACAATGTCAGCCGGTGTCTGTGATTTACAGCCCGCCCTGTAACTTCGTCCAGGTTTCCAGCAGCAGGAAATCCAACCTGTGCTCAGGCTTTCCACCTGCACAAGGAACACCCACCCGCCACAGCGCTGTGAGGCCCGAGGCAAACGGGTCTGCTGTACTGAAGTTGTAGCCTTTCACCTTAAAAGGTGAGAGTTGCACACCTGCTCCCGCAAAGTGCAGGAACTCCACTGGCTTTCCTCAGTTCTCCTTGGAGATCAGATCTGTCACATCATCCACTTTGTTTAACAAACAGAACTGAGGAACAAAGCTGTCTTTTTTGATCAGTTTCCTTAACGGAAGATTTAAATTGTTTTCTTTGGATAGCAACTATAGGAAAAACTTCTTAATCCTACTGTTTCTGAACACTCATTTCCCCAACTTCTCCCGTTACCAGCCCTGTTTTTCCATACTGATACCTCACCCCCTCTCCTTCTCTTAACCCCATAAAGCATCCTTTCTAGTTTTACCGTGGTTTGCCCTAAACTGTGTCAGTGTTTCCAAAGAAGGAACCTTTTCACCTGTGGCCTTGACAACCATTTAATCCTGGCTCCTACGCTCATTCCCTCAACGTGCTTGCTGCCTGCTCTACCATCATCTGAACGACCGGGCTCTGGGTCTGCAGCGCAGGGGTGCAGACAGAAAAGAATTCCAGGCTTGCAGCACCAGACACCTCGTACTTACCCTTTCTTCCCGTGTCCTAGCCCGCATCATCTTGGCACGCAACTGAACCCGGTAATCTTCGTAATACTTCCTGGCTCGAGCAAGTTGCTGGTGTTTCTCTCTCACTTTATTCTGAGCCCGTTTCTGGCGGCAGATACGTTGCTTCAGTTCTTGCTAAATGGAGAACAACAGCTGTAAGGCCACCAGGCTTCCCGCAGACACTGCTGCAGGCAAAACGTTGCTAATCAGCGCCGAATAAATAGGGTCCTTCACTAAGGATCTTCTCCCTACCCCGGTTTTACACCGTGTTTATGGTTTAAAGCTTTAGTCACCGGGGATTCGGCAGAGCGGTGCCACCTAGAGCACTACATAATTAAGGAGTCAGCGTTACTGTGGTAGCTCCTGCTTGTACCAGCAACACCAGGAGCCTGAAGCTTCTCCTCGCACATTCCCAGAATTTGTTTGCCCCTCTAAAGCAACAGGAGAGCATAATAATAATAATCCATTCCCATGACCTCAGCAGCCACACAGCAAAGAGGCGACATGGCACCTGAGCCCACAGCTGCTGCAGAGGCACCAAACCCTCCTACGATAAAAAGCCACTTCCATGGACCAGGGACTGTGCTGTGTAGCTAAACACAAAATCGCTGCATTGCGTGACAAACACCCTTCAGAGAACATACCAGTCTCTTGCTATGGTCTTGATCTTTTTTAATAATTGCAACAAGAAGCTCATGCTTCTTCAGGGCTTGTTGAACCTGGAGGTGTAAAAGCAGCTGATTAGTTCCATCACGCGGCAGGACAGGCAGTTGTGATTAGGAGTTCCACACGTCGCCCCTACCCTGTGTGCTGGCTTTTGCACAGTGGTACCATGCATTAATCATCTTCTGTGTCTCATCCCCAACTTTTAAACTAGAAGACTGTTCTGAACCAGCATGCAAAACGACAAAATGCTCTTAAAAAAGCAGTAACAACCCTGGGCAGTACCAGACAAGCTAGTATGAAACATGAACACTACATCCCAGTGGCTGATGAAAACTGGACATCCCTGTTTATACATGTACAGCCCAGACATCCTTCCCTACCGTGCTCCGGCTGTGCGCTAGGAAGAGGCAGGATGTTTTTATTAGGCAGTACAAGCTGATGACTGCTAACTCTTCTCTCAGAGCTACTCTCCCTGCTGATACTTAGAAGATAAGAATAAGAATGCTCACTTCAGTTTGGAGCTTTGCTCTCTGTCTGCCAGAAGCTGCCTTAAGGTGTTCAGTAAGCGCAAGCTGCTGCTGCCACATTTTATCCATAGTGTGTTGGGAAAGATGCAGGTGGGGAAACTCTTCCAGTAGCTGAAATAGGAGGTCATCATCTCTCACTTTCACTACAAGATAAAGACAGATGTAAGCAATAAATTCCTGGAGAATACATTTAGTGGTAAATTCTTCCAGACAGTGTCAGCCCAGGCTAGGAAATACTTTAGACTGAACACCATATACAACTACCATGCTCCTCTTGTGCTGCCAGGCTAAACCCAGCAGGACATAACCTCACTCTCCCAGTACCGCAGCGGAGAAAGTAATCCCAAGGTTTTGTTGTGGGTTTTTTCCTCCTCTGCTGAAGAACTGCTTTGATAGCTCAAGTGTTGTTTCCCTCCCCCCACCACATCCAGTTAAGACAGGTATCCCCTTCTTTCTTCAAATGTTTTCAACCATCACTAGAGAAATCACTGATCATCTCTCTGCAGCAACTTAAAATAATGCTAATACAGCACGAGTAGTGACAGATCCAGATCAAGTAAACAGGTGGAAAATAAACTTGTTGGCAACCAGCTCATTCCCATTACATCTTTGATCTCTCTGGCAGGGAAAGATGATGGGGATATGAAACCAAGAGGTGTTACCCCAGTATATGCCCTTTAAACACTGGGGAGAAGCCGACCAAGGCAGTGTAGCTGAGCGTCATTCAGACACCGGGGGTTATACCACGATGTACACTGATGGGTGAGCACACACAATGCCATTCACCAACCCTGAGCCTGTGATCTGTGTGCTGGCTGTGCCTGCAGCATCACGTGCTCAGTAAAACCAGTAGCAATGTTAACAGCTCCATGGCAGGGCCTTGGAAGGGAGGTGATAGCAAGCGACAGATCCTGTTCTGGCCCCTGCCCATGGCTCAGCACCAGCCCTCACAAGCTCACGGCCGGACTGTGCATCTGATGCATGCTCAGGAATAAAAAAGCCTGAGCTCAGACTACAGTGGAGCAAGAACAGGAGTAGCAGTAATGGAAACAAGCCTTGAAAGTAATCCAAGGGATTTTAGGGAGGTAGCAAAAGGGTCACAGTTTTGATTGTGCATCGGTGGTGTACATTTACTTCAAGTGTTATCTTCCCTAACAAAAATCCAGACATAGAGAGGTCAAAAGAAGGGGAAAATGCTACAGCTGACTGGTATATGTTGGACCCATGCCTTTATTCTTTGCAGTTCTTACTTGGAGCTGCTTTCTTTGGCTTTGCAATCCCTCGTTTTGGAATCCACTGGCTGTATTTGGGATTCTGAGGTGTGGTTTTTCTGGAATAACCTTTCACTGGCTGAGGTATTTTTGGAGGTTCTTTAAAGATGTTTTCTTTGTATCCTTGTTCCTTAGGAGCAGATGTAAAACATATGGAGAACAGGTATGAGAAGGGAAAGACTGATAGATCACATAGTTTGCCTGTAAGAAGTTAAATGTCTTTGAAACTTCAGGATGAGAATTTGCACATACTGAATTGGATTATCCAGAAGGCCAGAATTTACCCACTGCAGGTCAGGGTTCAGATCAAGGTTAAATCTCACTATTGCATAACCTCAGCCCTCTTTACAGCACTTCACACTACTGCAGCAGCCTACAGCCTGCTTCTGCCAAGGTGGCGAAAAGGGCCGGTGCAGCCTACCTGGGTATGACAGTGCTTTTCCGCTTGGGCTCTCTGCTGCCCGGTAGTACGTAAGGAAGTAGTAAAACCCTCTTTACCATACTCAGAACACTGGAGAATCATCCCTGCTTAAACCCAGCTTCTAGAGTGGTTACAGAAAGACTATGACAATATTCAGCAGATTGCCTAGAGGGTACAGGGGCTGCAGCCTCGTTAACGGAGCTGCCGGGGATGTGTGCAGAAGAGCCCACCTCTGGAAGCGATCCACTCGCTCACTTAGCTTTAATTCTTTAAATCTGCGTGTCTTGAAGTTACCACTTGATGGGAAAAGCAAGGTGGTTGTTACCCGTAAGAACAGGTATTATTCTTAGTACACAGAAGTGCTGAAACGTCTGCAGTTACTTGACTCCGGGTTCTACCCATCCCGGGAAAAGCCGTCCTCTCGGCTGCTTGAGTAGCACACCGCGCTGTAACTGACACTGGGAGCCCAGGAGTTTTCGGACCCGAAAGACATACCCCATGTCTGGAGAGAGCTTCTAGACAAATTAAAACAAACAAAACACAACCAGCTGTCACTGTAGCGCAGCACGTACCATTTCCCTGATGGCGTCTCTGAGCTTGGAAAGCCTAAGCCTCTCCCTGGCCTCATAAACTCGTAGTTCATTTTCATACGCTTTGGCGACCATCTAGAAAACCAAAATAAGAGGACTTTTCAGAGAAAATAATCAGTCCGTACGACCGCCTCATTAACTTCTTTGGGGTAGGAGTCCGAGTAGCTTCTTCCATTTTAAACTCTCTTTTTTGCAAAATGTGGGGTTGAAGTCTTTTTTCCCTTAGCAGTCCACAGCCACAGGGTACGAAATCACTGACGTAGGCCAGCTGCTTCCATTACGTGAGAGCATTCAGGGGTAACGCTCTTAGCGCAGCCATTGCTTAGAATTACCAACATGTCAATTACCTTAGCTTTTTTTGTTCTTTCCTCCCTTTCGTTTTGCAGCCGACTGCATATTTTCCTTATCTGGCTCATTCCATTATCAGGAGGTTTATCTTCCAGCTCACAAGAGAGTTGATGCTGAGATGAGGGGGAAGATGGAGAAAGGGATCGTGGCCTGCTTGGGTACCTTAGATGTGGTGTGCCTGTAAGGAAAGGCAATTCATGGAGTGTCTAACTTGAAACAAACTCCAGCCAAACATTAAGGGGAGAAAAAAGCCCCCCAAGCCCATACAGCGTAAGAGCCAAAAAGTTTATCACAAATTAAGTCACAAGAAGCTAAAGCCTTTGCCTTTAGAATTACCCCTGCCCCAGATCACAAAATTTGGGGCTTACATAATAGCAAATGTGGCAGGAGATACTCGAGATGAGAAAGGAAAAATCAGCAAAGGTAACTGGAAGCAGCTCAAGGTGAGACTGTCCATATGCCGGGGTCACAGACCCCTCCCTCCTGCTTCGTGATGTTCTGCACGTGGGTTACGTCAAGCTGCACAGTAGTTGTGTCGCCTGGTGTACATGCAGGGTGGTTTATTCACTCAGACTGCCACCAACACGCACCCTCAATGTTTACAGACATCTAGATGTATGTGCTGTGCTCAGCACACAAGAATCTGCAGTGGAGTGCACTGTAAATTCATTTCCGAATCACATCAGTGAGCTTGTATTCTGTCCCTCCCCCACTTTCTGTGCCTGTTTCACAGCAGCTGTGTTTGCCTTGTATTTTTAGTGAAGTTTTACTGTAGATATTATGGGACCTTAATTGTAGTTCTGGTACTGTTGCTCAGGTTTAGATCAAACGTAAGGGAACTAACTAACAGCACAAAGCTTCAGAAACAGAGTAGTTCAACGTATCAGCTTTACACAAGAAGGAATTTTTTTAATATTCCTTTCTGTCCTCATACTGAAGTGGCATAAGAATCGTTACCTTGCTCAGCTTTCCTTCGGCGATAATCCATGACGCTGTCGCTGTGCTGAGACAGGCTGTCTTCATCCGTCAACTCGTCTTCCCTGCTGTGCCCACCCAAGGCTCTCTTTAACATCTATTGGATAGATATTTGGGGGAGGGGGGATCAGGTTCAATAGTTCATTCAAAATTTGAGCTCAAGTCAGGTGTTAGTCGCAGATTTCCTTTTCATCCACGTGAAATCTGCATTCTTGTTCCCACCACTCATTACCAAGGCCAGCTCGCTCGGACACAGCCGAGAGCAGGTTCTCACTTACTGAATCCAGTTCACTGAACCTGCGAGAGAGACTTTCTGACACTTTATGAAGCTCTTGCTCAGATGGCTTTTCCTTTGTTGGTCCGTGGGAAAGAGACTCTTCCAGTGAATCTGTGGTAGAATTTTCGTATCTGCTAAACCAGAAAACAGATTTCATTTCTGTTCTAAAAACCTGAAGATAAGCATTACCTCAGTTCGCTTTTTGCACAAGCGAGTTTTTATAGGATTAAGTAGAACTTGACTGCATAAATACCTGTAACTATACTTAAGGAAATGCATATATGTCAGGACATACACAAAATATTTCACTGTCATGCAACCAGGAAGAGAAGGGGGGGTGTGGCCTGGATGGCCATATGCTAATGTGGCTTAGTACCAAAAAAAATGAACTTGCCTTTTCTTTCTAGGCAGATACCTAAATTCAGGCCTTGGAGTTTGTGTTACTTGTTCAGCACACAGCGAGAGTTCTTGGTGTGAAGAGGAAGCAGATGTAGAACTCCTATACACCTGAGGAACCTAGAATAACGAGTAAATTACGATTTATTAAGATCTTCGCAGTGAAACTCAGAAATATCATAGACTGTATGGGTAGAGAGATCCTACAGCAGAACCAGCTCAAACCCTATGATTTTATATGTATTTTTATTTGTACTTGCATATATATATAAAAAGTAACTGAAGATAGTGTGCTTTAGAGAACTGGATGGTTGAAGAAAGAGACTAGCAGAAATGTAGAAGACCAGTTCATGAATCATCTGCAGCTAAACCACTGACTCAGAAGAACAAGGTCTCGGTTAAGTTGTACGAGTATCCATACCTACTACCTCATTAGCCTGGGACTAATGCCACACCATGTGAGTAAACTGAACCTTACTGAGCAGACTAAGCTGCAATTCACAGCAAACTAAAAGAAAACGTAAGTCCTTGTGCTGTGCAGTTACACAGGTTTAGCACTGCCTGGTGACATACCTGTTTGAACTGAGTAATCAGGGGTTGGCGTGTCTGTACCTGCAAATACACCAACAGAAAATGAGTTTTTAAGAGAGACAATGTTTCACACAGACAATGTAGAAGTAAAGGCTGCTGAAACTATGGGAACAAACGAGGTCTGCGAGTACCTCTTGTGGTTGCAGAAGGAAAAAAAAGGTGTTTTCCAGAGCAAGGAACCTGCTATGCAGACATGTTTCTACAAGCACAGAATGGCCTCTGCTGATCCATTTGTGGGTTTTGCATTACGCAGTTTTTCAAAAACAAAGGACAATGCAAAGAAATAAAATGCAAGAACATCGCCAGGCAATTCAGTGATCTTTAGGAAGGAAGCAAAATCTGCATTTTATTGGACTCTGAACAACCCAGAAATCCAAAGTTCTTACTTCTTTAGAATACTGATACACTTCAGAGAAAAGAAGTGACTCTACTCCTGTGTTTTATACACCTTTGATTAAACCCAAGATAACTAGGAACTGGTTGGTTGTGATAAATTAGAACTCTGCAGGGACTGGCACTGTCACTTTTGGGAGCAAACACCTCCTGAAGGAACTGACACGACTTACAAACTGTAGATAGCTGTAGTCTAACAACATTGCATCACTGATTGTATATTGAAGAAATCAAGCCAAAAGCACCGAAGTGCCACAAGGTATCAGGAGAATTGAGCAGAAATCCAGAAATATTGAGTGAACTTCCACAAACAAGGAAAAGATGCAACATCTACCTTTGCCCCGTTGTCCTCAGCGCCATCTGATACCACCTCGTCTCCCACTGCAGAAGCAGATGACAGGTAAGTGTTAAGTGATGGCATAGACTGCACTGTGCCTACTGACGTGGGGAACGATGTGTGAACAATTATGTGATCCCTGGCCTTTGGAACCAAATTATCCGAAGAACAGAATGATGAAGCAACTGTGGTTACACAGCTGTGACAATGATTTTGGTAATTTCTCAAGTTCTGAATGTTCAGTGTCATGGGACTGCTATGGAAACTGGAAAGGTAAGCAGTGTTTCCCAGGCGACAGAGAAAATAAATAAGCACTGAAAACTAGCTTCTAAACCTTTTTGACAGTTGCAGCTAACAGCTTTTCCCTAGAGATGAAACTGGCTTGTTTGGTCCATGTTTCTCTGCTCAGAGTAAGCTCAGCCATGGGAGTTATCTGCTAGACAAGATTTCTGTAGTATTGGCACATCTTAACCGGATTAACTAAGAAAGGAGTTGAACTGGGGACACAGACTGTTTTTCTCCAGCACAGTGAACAGCTTAAAAGTAACCTTTTTTGTGCTTCTCTATGAAACAGATAGAAATATGAACTTGTGGCTGAATTTAAAAAAAAATAATGCACTAGTATTTTCAAAGCCAAGTTTCTTGTAGTGCCAGTAAGAATAAATGCAACATTTGACACTTAAGAGTCAGCCTATAGGAAGCAAATTTCTCTCTCACCAGGGATTTTCCTTGACAGAGGAAGACTACCAGAAACATCATCTTCAGATTTTTGGGTAAGTGATTTTTCAAGCTGAAATAAAAGGCAACATGTTTTCTATATATTCACAGGAGAGTTTTGACATGAAGGTCATATTTTAGGTTTGTCTGCATATGGAAATCAATTCTGATTTTATAGGTAAGTAAGAATACACTGTAATTATTTTGTTTACTGTATTGTAAACTGTGCAGTTACATTGATCATGGAGATGTATATGGGTACCTGTATAAAATAAACACATCCCTCAAATTCACTTCCTCTCTGGACACTTGTCTTTGAACTGAAGATAAAATCTGACACATTCAGAAGTGTTCTTCAAGACCAATGACTCCCGTTCTGCAAGCGTACTAGGAGGTTTCAAAAGGAAAGCGGTATTGGCCAGGCTGGATGAGGCTTGGAGCAACCTGGTCTAGTGGAAGGGGTCCCTGCCCATGGCAGGGGGGTTGAAAGTGGAACTCAGTGATCTTTAAGGTCCCTTCCAACCCCAACCATTCTGTGATTGACCACTAAAAAAAACCCCAAAGAGGTTCTCACTTACAATAGGAGCTTTCATTCCTTCACTGTTAGCCAAAGTTGCTGACTGGCTATCCGAGCTCTGATAATCACTCCAGCCAGGATAATGAGGTCTGGCTCTCAAAGGCTGAAATGGTGGTAGCAAAGGAATAGCTTGCTGAATAGGCTCCCCAAGTTTTGTAGCACTGGCACTTAAGCTCTCTCTTTGAGGTTCAGTAGTATGAACAGACTCCATGGATCCTTAAGAGACAAATATGAAGAACGAGAAGTTTAAGTGTTATCTGTGAAAGTGGAGGGTTAGTTTTGTATATTCTCAGTGCATACTAGATGGAAATACCTAGTATCTAATGGCAACTACCACCTCCGTTGGACTGCATAGAACAGTACTGCAATATTTTTATGCCTCCCAATGTCTCCTTCTGTCTACAGAGATACATACTGCAGCCCCTCCCTGTCCCCCTACTCTTACAGGCGCAGCCAGTTAGGTGTGTGTCTGTGTATGAACATCCTGCTCTCAGACTGCATGGGTGTAGCTACGTGCATACACAATAAATAGCTTTTGGTTTGCTGTTATTTCCCTCATGGTCTTAGACACATGATGGAGAACACCTGCCCATCTGCAGGAATTCCATGCTGTGACAGAGCCACAGTCAGCAGAGGCCAGGGACAGTTGGAGAAGGTAGCTGCCACCCATCAGAATGATTCACCCCATACACAATCTATCCGTATCTTTTCAACGTGAAAGCCCCCTTGGGAGCATGGTGTGGGATGCTAGGATCTTCCACAAGGACTTTTTACTTCTAGTGTTTTGCTTATTGAACCACAAAAGGAAAAAAAAAAAAAAACCAAAACCAAACAACAACTAGCTGAAGCTGAATCCTAGCTAACTGGAAATATCCCAGATAATGGAGTTTGCATACTCTGGGACACCCAAATATCAAATTTCTGAAAAGGATTTATTTATTTCAAAACACAGCTTGAGTGTTTCCATCTATGACTAAGGATCTACACTACCTTAGTACCCTACACCCCTTAGTCAAAATCAAGTAGATTAGATACTAGAAAAAAAGTATACTCACCATCTTCCTTTTCCTTTACAATGGCCCTTTCTGTTTCGGAGAACTGTCTAGATGACGTTGCAGCAGCCTCTGAGTTTTTAGATTTTTCTACCCCCTTACCTCTTCCTGATGGTAACAATTCAGGCAACTGGAATTCTAGAAGTAGTGTTGGATAAAGATTAGATTAAGGACTATGCAGTGTCTTGCTGTGACCTGTTCAGATGGGCACTTGTCATGTTTTGTATCTTACCAACTTGGTGTTTGCAATCCATGCTATGACCAAAATAGGTCTGTTAAATTCTATGTAACAAAAACTTCGTAAGTCATAATATTTCTTTTTGTCTCTACTTGGAGAGATTAATCACCAGTAAGAATAAAATATTCTTATGGGAATTAGGAATGGACTCCCTTGAAGCTGTCTGCATGTTAATTGTTCCAGAGCCACCCATGATGTTTGTAAATCCACACACTCCTGGCAAATCTTCTTGAAGAACCAACTCACTACTTTTTACAGTCTCAAATAATACAGTTGACACTGCCATAAATGAAATAAATTGAAGGCTTCAGGAATCTCTTATTCTATTCAGCAATGTAAAATGCCTCTGTAGGGAGAACTAACCTTTATCCCGATAACATAGCTCAGGAGTCATGTATAACGGTGTCTGGAATAATTACTTTACAGCAAAATCACTACAACTATCTTTGCTTATTGGGGAGGGAAGATGTTAAAATAAGAGTTAAAATGAAGTATTTATCTGAAAGAAATAACTTTTTAAAAAAGAAACCAAAAAAGCACCTAGAAATGTCACTACAGAGTAGTCTTAGTTTTTTTTTTCCTACCCAAACTTACCTGCCTCTCTCTTGGAAAATGAATGAGCAGTATCTCCAAGTCTAATTAATTCACTGGTAGATTCTGATCCATCTTCGTCACAAGATGGAACAAAAAATTCTGACTGTGATCTAAAAAGAACATAAAGCTGTAAAATATTTACTCTAAAAGTCTTGGCGCCTTCAGTCCACAAGGTGGGGCTGCAGAGGAGTGGCAACTACTTGGCTACTGGCTATTGTAGCACAGGACGTGAGACACCAGCTTCTACAAAAGTCAGGAAGATAAATCAAAGGCTGTTTAACTAAAATACAGTCGTTTAAAACAGTTTTCAACTTGTTTCATTCCACATGTAAAGTAAAGGAGACAAAACACCATCAGCACTCTTCAAGAGCTGGATCTAATTTTAGCCCTCTTGGAGAAAGTTACCTCACATTCCATGTGACATGTAATCAGTATGTTTCCCACTTACATACTATTAAAAATCTACTAGTTTCTCTACAACTACACAAAAAGACAGTCAATCACTGTGTCAGTGCAAAGAGTCACAATTGTTCTTACCCTTCAGCTGACGAGAATATTGGAGGTTGTGTGAGTCGAACAGCATTGCTTTCCAGCTGCTCTTGAGACACAACTCGAACTTCGTTGTTGGATAGCACGTTTGCCTCATCTGTTAATAACCAAAAGGCAATTATTTTCAGGAAAACAACTTCTACCGATTAACTAATAGGTATTATTGCCAGTATCACCAAAAGAGTGTAATAAAGCATTATAGTGATGATATCTGAAATCATGACATGGTTTCACAAAGCTCACATCTTCCAACAGGTATCATTCTATCTAGCTGCTAGTGAGGAGAACTGCAAAGAAAGAGTTTTCACATATTACGGGAGCTGTATTCCATCCATGAACAGCAAGAACTCTGGTCATGAGAACCTAACAAAGCCCTCGGCAAGCTAACTTGAGAACAAACAGCAGAGGTAAGCTGTCCGTAAGATAGCAGCAGCAGAACATAATACCTTGAACTAGGACTGATACCTGTCTACTCACCTCCGTTCTGAGAAGGTTCACTGGCTTCTTCTGTGAGATACTCTAACAAACCATCAAATACTTCAAGGAGGTTTCTGATAGATGCCCTGTCACCTTTCACGATGTTCTCACCTTAGGAAGAAAGTATTGCCATATATTAATAACTAGTGCTTCACAGAAGAAAAACATCTCAAAAGCAGGAGTTTCTGGAGAAGAGTGCTTGGAAAACCTTGTGAAAGTGGCAGCTCAAGACAACTGGTCACTCATTTATGGCCACGTATGTAAGCTTAACATATCTTACATTTCCTAAAGTTGCGTATTTTCAGTTCTGATAATTGCACGTTTATTGATGCTATACCTGCTTCCAGGGGAAAAAAAAAATCAGGGATATTTTCAGGGACAGTTGGTATTGAATGTTTTCTTATACGTGCTAGCTACAGCATGAACCATGTCTACAGACTGGCAGGCAGCGTTACAAATCCCAGCCATAGAGTACAGGTAGCAAATCAGAAAGAGAGACTGCGTATCAAGAAGCAGTTTTCATGCCTTGCAGGCTATGTTACGTGAGACGACACATACAGATGCTCACTGACTGCTATTGTCTGGGTGAAAAGGGCAGACATAATCTTTTAAAACCCAGTCTCCAAGCTTTAACTGCATACAGAAAATACTGAGCCAGTAAGAGACTTCAGGTAACACTTTGGCAGACAAATGAAGTATGATTGGTTGCTAACTTTACCATTTCTTACAGGCCTGTGTCATACGAGAGGGCTCTTACTTAGTCTTTGCTAGCTGTTTAAACTTATAACCTGATGTCCCAATGCAAGGGTTTGGCATTTTGATGACATTCAGTACAGGAAAAAGACCTTTCACGTAAGTATGAAACTATGCTTTATAACACATGGATCTTCTAAAATGTTCAAATGAAACCCCACAGATATTCAGCTGGTATTTGTCCACGTTAAAACGAGCACTTACCGGTGATGTGCGACAAGCTGACCTGCAAGTAGTCCAATGCCAGGGAATCTATTACTGCTTGCACATTATGAACATCATCCTCTTGGCTTCTAGGAGTAGCTATGAAATCTATTTAAAATAAATAATAGGGTTTAGGCTGTCTAAATGGATAGCTGTTTCAACTAAACTACTTTCACTTGTGAGTTAGTATTTTTTTTCAATACCTCCTGGATTTGGTGAAAAACCCAAATATCATATGGTCATATCAAATCTTTTATCAATACAGAGCACAAACTTAGAACACCTACTGGAAGATGTGAGGGTTTTATTAGCTGAAGTATTAAATTCAAGAATTCGAATTTAGCCAGAGAGACAACTAAAGGATTTTCCCTCCTTCATTCCCTGCACACACATCAAATTGGAACTGCAGCTTCTCTTAAGGTCTTTACCCTTTCAGCAACTAGCTGGACTTCAATATATTCCACTTAATTGGGAGCAACGTTATTTTTAGTTCTGGGCTTACATTTAACAAGACTTCCACCTCCAATAGCTGCCAGTTACCTCAGTGCTATTAAAATCTTCTGCAGGAGTCTTAACGGTTCCCCAGATAAAACAGTTCACAATAAAACAAACAACTGCATAGCCCTTGCTTAAATCTTGTCACTGAAGTGGAATGGAGTTGGGTTATGTCAGAGTTAAATCACAGCTTAACTCTTAGCAGAGTGTAAGTGTTAAGCATTTTACTACAACAGTATTAACACTTCTTTAAGAGAAATGAGCAAATTCACACCCTTCAAAAGTATTGTGCCTATCTATGACCTTCCAGGCCTAATTTACAAGTTTTCCTGTAGCTATACAAGTCAACTCCCCTCACAGCTGCCTTTTATGCAAGACCCACACTCCACCCCACTCCCACAATTTAAAAAAAAAAAAAAAACCCCACACACACAAAAAAACCCATCACACCAAAACCAATCAATCACCAGTATTATTTAAATCCTCTGAGAGAATCACAACGTATTTGTCTTTGGGAGGATTTCCAAATTTTCATTTGTTCATTTCAAACAAATACATACAGAGGCAAAACAAACCAATAAGTCAGTTTAGAAATTATCATTCCCACCTGGTACTTTTTCTCCTAAGATTGACTCATAAAGAGGAACAAAGACATCAGCACCACATTCTGAGAGATGCTTTATGTGCTGGTTTATGTGACAGCTCCTCAAGAGATCGTTGGCAACATCGACCCAATCTATTGAGAAGCAAAACATATTAATGTCAGAACCAGGAGACACAGAAACGAGGACACGGGTTACGGTGAAAATGAACCTGTTTAGTGTCTGACTCCACTGTAAGTGGTCGATCCCAATCATACTATCCAAATCATCCAAAATACTAAACATGTTGTATGCTTTCTGTTCCATGCCCTGCTTACTTCAGAAGGAAACATGGAGAGAGGGAGGAGCCATGCACACCAGGATCTTGTTCATAGCACAGAGACCGGGGAGCCGCAGGGTACTGGAGTGCCACAGGCTGGGCAGGTGATGGTTTTTCCTTCCACACAGTGGGAAGCAAATTTTGGTCTGGCTGCATAACAGGAATTCCAAACCTTGAAGGACTTGGTAAAGCAAGGTTTGATACATCTTTTATCAAGATTCAGAAATTACATCTCGTGTTTTGAAAAACATGAGCTGCTCTCATTACAGACCCAGTTTCCCTAATATTCAGGCAGTGACAATGCTGCTAATACTAGTACTCGTCATGAAAGCTACATTTAAGGAATACTTTTATTAGTTTGTTATCAAGGCATTACAGGAATATGGAGCTGGTCACACCAACTTCTTGCTATGTTGAGCACAAGGAGATGTGTGCATAAACAGCCCGATTTTTCCAAAACTTTGGGTCCTGAACTCCAAGTGCCTTGAAGGACATGTCCTCTACAGTATTCTTCTTCACCCAATTCAAATATCAACTTGGAATAAATAAAACAAGTCATCATCTCCATCAGTCTGCAATCTCTTAAGGCTGGATTTCCCCCCTACGTTTGCTTTTGCAAACGAGTATTTTAACAAGTGTTATGGAGGACTTTTACTGGGGAAGGAACGTTACCTGTGGCAGGGAAAAAAGGATACACTTATTACAACAGAAACTAATTTGTACAATTTTTATTCTTCTGTAGGCAGGATTATTTTCCCATTGCTCTGCTTTTCACTCGGTTCACGAATCACTGTACCCCAACATTTTAGTAATTTCAGGTGCGTGTAAGTTTGAAGTATCCTCTCCAAGGGTTCAGCCTGACCTGCCTTAAAGGGAGTTCAGCTACTGTTTACCTCCAGCTTTGTTACAAGTGTCGCGGGGGGGAACACAAGGGTGGTGGGGAAGTTAACATAAAGAGCTTAAAATGCCACAAGAGCGAGCCATGTTTTAAGGAAAAGCACGTCTGAACGT